CCTTTTTCGGTCTGCGCTCAAAGAGCATGCACTGCCGTCGTATCAACATGCGGCCCGGCGAGAGGATGCGCCGAAGAGGCCATCACAGCCAGTGAAGTAGTAAACTCCTGGACACTACAGTGCACACAGAGCCCTTAAGCGAGGCTTATTACGGAGGGCCCGGCTTTGACCCCAACCTTGGGCGGGGACCTTTGCCGCTCCTGCTCCGCGCGGTGTCGCACGGGACTGGCTGCTTTCAACAATCCGAGAGCTGAGCCAGCCGAGCACGGGCGAGTGGCTCCGCCACTCCACTCCCTAGCGAGCGAGCGAGCTAGCCACCAATGCTACGGTGCATGGGACACTCTGGGAAATATGTACACCTTTGCCGCGGGACAAAAGATAAGCGGCTCCGCCACTCCGCTCCCGAGAGAAGCCTGGAAGCTCTGTGCTCGGAGCGAGGGCCGCCGCAAGCCACCGCAGGACCTGCATGGACAGGGGGGGGGGGGCCTCCTTTCTCTCGCCCTCCTCTTGCTCCTGCTCCTGCTCCTGCTCCTCCTCGTCCTCCTCCTTCTCCTCCTCCTCCTCCTCAGTCTCCTCCTCCTCCTCCTCCACCTGGTCATCCTTCCTCCTCCTCCTTCTCCTCCTTCTCCTCCTCCTTCTCCTCCTTCTCCTCCTCCTTCTCCTCCTCCTGCTCCTCCTCCTCCTCCTCCTCCTCCTCCTCCTCGTCCTCTTCCTTCCTCCTCCTCCTTTCCACTCCTCCTCCTCCTCCTCCTCCTTCTCCTCGTCCTCCGCCTTCCTCCCTCCTCCTCCTTCCTCCTCTCCTCCTCCTCCTTCCTCCTCCTCCTCCTCCTCCTCCTCCTCCTCCTTCCCACTCCTCCTCCTCCTTCCTCCTCTTCCTCCTCTTCCTCCTCCTCCTCCTCTTCCTGCTCCTCCTCCTCCTCTCCTTCCTGAGCCGGGGCCGACCGTCCTGGCAATCCTATATGCCTATCACAGACTGTTCTCAGAACCCACACAAGAGCATTAGGAACCCAAAAAAAACAGTGCTTTGAACACAAGCCCGATGTTCGAAGAACATTTCTTGCAAACCACCAGAAGCAATCCTAGGTGGGCCCATAGGCAAGCCAAGACGCTTCGCAACTGCTCGATGTTCCCAGCCCGTCTCTTGCAGCGCATCGCTTTCCTGCACGGCACAATCAAGTTTGACTGAAGAGGACACGCGAGAAGACACAAAACCTTCCTGAGAACCGCACTGCCGCTGGAATCTGCAAGGCATGGGCCGCGAAACCCAAGACACGGGGGTATCCTTGACTTGACAGGGTCGACCCACCGCAGTCGGGCTGCGGACGCACGGACCGCCGAGTGAGGAACAGGCCCCCTCCCCGGGCCCCACCGGCGACTGGGTGCGCGAGGAGCGCGCGAGGAACAGCCACGGAAGGACCCGAGGAACATCGAGCCTCCCCGAACCCAAACTGCTCCTCCTGGCGTCTTGGCTGTCATCGTCGGCGTCGATCCCCCCCGAACCCACACCTTCCGTCGGCGTCTTGGCCGTCGACTCGACTGCAGCCTGTGCCCGCCCGGCCGATCTGCGCGAGCGCCGGGCCCGCGAGAGCCAAAAAGTTGGAGCCCGCCCCGCATGCAGGCTCGATTGAGCGTCGTTTCGCCGATTCCTGTCCCCACTGGCGTGGCCTGGGCCCCACTGACCGATTTACCCCCGGGATGGAGATGTAGGCGGCTCCCTTCGGGCTTCGAGGGGCATATCCCCAACTGGGGTGGTGGGATGGTTCGGGCCGGGCGAAAGGGGGGGATAGCAAAGGGGGGGTTTGAGAATCAGCTCACTTAGCTGATTTTCCCGGCGCCTCCCAGCGCCAGGAGGCGCCCATGTATCGAGGACTGGGCCCGGCGGCGGGGCCGAAACCAGCTGCATGCAGCAGATTTCGTAACCCCCCCCTCTCCCTATCCCCCCCTTTCGTTCGGCCCGAATGGCGGGGATCGGGATGGGGGTGGGAATGGGGATAGGGTTAAGTCGGGCGTGTCCCCCTACAGGGGGATTTGGGGCGAAAAATAAAGAATACGCCCAAAATACCCCCCAAAAGGTCCAAAAATACCCCAAACATAATCCACGGACTATTTTGGGACCATTTTGGATGTATTTTTTTTATCTTCCGCCGGAGATCCCCCTGTAGGGGGACACGCCCGACCGAAGGACAGGGATCGGTGGAACGATTCTGGTCGATGGCTTGACTCGTTCCCAGACCCCCTCGCGTCGTGAAAAAATCACGACGGGAGGTTTTTCGTTATTTTCGCCCTCTGGGGGCCCTTCCCGGGCCTCGGGACCGTCAAAAAGCGATGCAGGACGAAAAACCGGTCCCGGGGAAGGGGTCCAGACCTCTGGGGGGCGACGTCATGAAAAAATCACGACGTCGGGGGTCTGGGTTCCTGGCGGTCGGCGCTCTGCCCGCGGCCTCCGCCGCGGGCGCGAGGGCCCCGCGCTCCGCCACCCGGCGGGCCGCCGGGGCGCCGACCGCGCCCGCGGAGGCCTGCGGGTGGTTGCGGCGGGGCCTCCGCCGGGGGCGCGGAGGAGGAGGCGGAAGCTGGAGGGGAAAGTCTTTGACGAGGCCCTGGAGGAGGAGGAGGAGGAGGAGGAGGAGGAGGAGGAGGAGGAGGAGGAGGCGGGAGCTGGAGGGGAGAGCCTTCGACGAGGCCCTGGGGCACGCAAGGGGGCCCCCACGATGCATCCGAGAGGCTCCCAGGAGGCTCCCAGGAGGCCCCAGGAGTGCCCCCCCAGGGGCTCCCGAGATGCCCCTCCTCCTCCTCCTCCTCCCCCTCCTCGGGACCTTCCCCGCCACCCTCCCCCGAGTGTTCCCCGAAAGGTTTCTGCCGCGGCCGGGGGAACACATGGCCTAAACTGAAGGGGCCCTGGGGCACACAAACAAATAGACACAAATCACAGGATTCCCCACATCTTCCCATATCTTCTGGATGTTCGTCTTCCCCCCCCACTGCCCACATTTTCACATGTGTTCTGTGGTATGGGCGATTAACTGTGTCTCTGTGTGTGTGTGTTTCTTTTCCCTCCTGAGTGAAGCTGGAGGGGAAAGTCTTGCGGATGCCATGACAATGGACACTCTGTGCGCTCTGTCCTCGAACTTCTAAAAAATGCACCGCAACATGTACTACACCGGTTCTCAACATGTTCGGGACGTGCTCAAAACATGTCTTCGCACTTCAGGAGCATATCTTGAACATGTTTTAGACATCCTCAACACATGTAGCGATACTCCCCCGCTCCACTGATCGTCTTCGTCAAAGGAAATTGGCGGCGAGATTGGGGGGTTGGGGGCAGTGAGAAGGGGCAGGCTTGCTCAGCAGGCTCGGAAGGAGCCCCCCCTGGCCCTCTGAGAAGCTGCCCAGGCCTCCTCTGACAACGCAGGCAGCCTCTCAGGAGGCGCGAGGACTTCCGAGAAGTCCCGCCGGTCGGGGCTCTGCTGACCCGGGTCAATCCAGACCCGGGTCAGTCAGGCCTCGCATTGAGTCGGGCCTGTCCCCCTACAGAGGGATTTTCGACGAAAAAGAAAACAAATACCAAAAAAAACTCAAACAATAGTTCAAACATAGCTTGGGGACTATTTTTTCATATTTCTTGACCTTTCTGGGGAATTGTTGGGGTATTTTCCATTTTTCGTCGGAACTCCCCCTGCAGGGGGACACGCCCGACTTCAGCCTTGCAGGATCCTGCAGGATCATGCAAAATCCCGCACCCAAGCCCGGGCCCAGGCGAAGGACCCTGCGAGGCCCTGCAGGAACCTGCGCCCAGGCCCGGGTCAATGACCCCTCGGCCCTGCAGGCTCCTGCAAGACTCTGGCGCTCTGGCTGACCCCCGGTTGCATTGGCCCCCGTCTCTTGAGCCCAGAGCCGGGCTCAGAGGACCTCGACCGGCGCGAGGGCTTCTGAGAAGTCCCGCCGGGCTCAGGTGAAATCGGGCCTGTCCCTCTGCACGGGGAATATTCAGAAGGAATCAAAAAATTACCTGGGCATGATTTTAAGTATACTTTTGACTAGTTTGGAACATGTTTTGACTAGTCTCATTTGTCCTCACAATCCGCCTGTAGGAGGCCATGCCCGACCTATAGGCTCAGAGGACCTTGACCGGCGCGAGGGTCGAGGGGAGGGATGGAAGCTCGAGGACCGAGGCGGCTGGACGTGCCTGGCCCTGCGTGGGGGATCCCCGCGGGGGCCACCGCGGGGGCCTCCTCGCGAAGATGCCTCGGGGAGATCTGGAGACTTCGAGGGCCGAGCAGGGTCTCGTAGGAGGGCCTTTCTTGAATAGCACTTCTCCGGATGCTACACCAGAAAAACACCCCAATCAGTAGATGGTTTGAAACCAGACGATAAAGAGATTGATGAGGAAATCGAGCGGGAGCCTGGGAACCCGGAACCAGGAACCGGGAACCCGGGAACCCAGCCGGCCACCAACATCGGCGGGACACTCTCGCCACAATTTTCCATTTCCGCTAGGACCACTTCAGTGCAAGCACGGATTGGGGAATATTGGGCCAGAGCTGGCTTGAGTGCACCGGATGAGCCAGACAGGGCCCGTGCGATAGGAGGGGAACGCCAGGGCCGACGAAAAGCGCGAGCCGTCTCGAAGCCCTCTGCGGCCGTCTCGGAGCCGTCTTGACGGGTCCAGGGGCCCCCGACCTCTCCAGGGCCACTTTCTGTGACTCTCTTGAGGCCTCGGGAGGCCACAGCGAGAAGGCGAGATGTCTTGAAAAACCTAGGGCTTCCGATGGTTTCCCAAACATGTGGGAGAGGAGGAGGAGGAGGGGGAGGAGGAGGGGGACGAGGAGGCGGAGGAGGAGGAGGAGGGGGAGAAGGAGGGAAGGGGAGAAAGGAGGGGAGGAGGAGGAGAGGAGGGGGGAGGAGGAGAGGAGGAGAGGAGGAGGAAGGAGGAGGAGGAGGAGAGGAGCGAGGGAGGAGGAGGAGGAGGAGGAGTCCTGCGCCCTTCACGAATCGCGCCCTCATCAGGGCCGTACGCCCGTGCACGGACGCTGGGGGGGGGGTGGGGGGGGGGGGAAACAGCGCGCTCGGCGTCGGGACGCGAGCGCGCCGAGACACCACGTCCGATCGCCGCCCGCGGCGTGCTCGGCCTCAGACGTCCGAGCACGAGAGACAAAACAACTCTGCGCACGTGCGCTCGCTGCCCCGGAGAACCGTCCGGGGACTGACTGCATCCAAAACTGGTGTGCGTAAAAAAAGTGTATGGGCCTGTTGGCCACCACCGCCACCATAAGTTGGAGGGCGAGGGGGTCCTCCTACTCCTCCTCAGCCTCCTCCTCATCCTCCTCCTCCTCCTCCTCGTCCTCGTCCTCGTCCTCCACCTCCTCCCCCCCTCCAACTTCTGGTTGTGGTTCTGGTGGAAAACAAGCCCATTGAAAAAAAGCGGGCCACGCACGCGCCGTGTCGCGCGTGCGTGCCCGTGGACGAGTGAACGACGCGGCCGTGGCGCGGCGCGCCGGCTCTCCCGCGGGAGGGCCCCTCGTCCTCCGAAGGCGCCGCGTCGGAGGATCGGGCCGGGTGAAAGGGGGGGGTTTGAGAATCAGCTCGCGTAGCTGATTTTCCCAGCGCCTCCCGGCGCCGGGAGGCGCCCATGTATCGAGGAATGGTCCTGGCGGCAGGGCCGAAACCAGCTGCACGCAGCAGATCTCGTAACCCCGCCCTTCCCTATCCCCCCCTTTCGTTCGGCCCGAGAGAAGGGAGGCCCACGAGCCCTCCTCTCTGGGGGACGATGGGCGTGCCTTTCCCGACCGACAGGAATCACCACGAACTCTGCCGCGAGGCATGCAGGTTGGCTTCCCCCGCCCCCTCCCCGCCCGATCCTCCCGCTGGACCCCTCCTTAGGGGAACGAGCAATGGCATAAGCATAAAAACTCGGAGGTCCACGCGGATATCTTGGATCCGCGCTGGACCCCCCTCCCTGGCGCGCGAAAGCGCCAGGGGCGGCGCCGGAGGCGCCGCCACGGGGCCCCAGCGCCGATCCGAGAAATCCGCGCGGACCTCTGAGTTTTTATGTTTTACGTCATTCTTCGTTCCCCATATGGACCCCTCCTCCCCCTCCACACCGCACTCTGCAGGGCTCTCGGCTTGGCCTGAAGGATAGCGATGGAAACACGCCACTGGTCATACCTGGGCCTCTGGACGTCGGGTTAGGTCGGGCATGTCCCCCTACAGGCGTATTTGGAAGGAAAACTCTGGAAATAGCTGTTCTTCCGTATCCGTATGATTAGTATGAGTACTACGATTTTTGAACCAACCATATGTTTTGAAACCAAAAGACCTCAAACGTCATCAAAAAGGGCAGAACGATCGTCCCCATATTGGCCTCTGCTACTTTTGAACCTTCCTCCCGTAGAGGGACGTGCCCGACGTCCACGTCTGGCCGAACGCCTCAGACGCACCATGAGCCGGTCGTGCTGAAGCAGGCGGTGAAGGACTCCGCCCTCGAAGCGGCCGCGGTGGTCGCCTCGCTCGCGTCGGAGGAGCTCCTGGGCTTCGGCGTCTCCGCGCGCGCGGCGGGGCCTTCCTGAGCAGGCGGGGCGGGGACGCACACGGCCTACGCAAGGGCTCCCAACTTCGCGTTTCGCGCTGCGCGGAGCGCGAAGTGCGGATAACTTCGCGCTCACGCGCCGCCTCCCAAAGGGAGAAAAGGAGGACGAGGAGGAATCGGAGCCGAACCGCGAGAAGCGCGGAGCGCGAATGCCTTCGCGCCCTCGAGGGCGCCCTTGCTTATGGGCCCGACCCCCGAAAGGACCCCGCAGCCGCCCTCCCATCCCCGAGGGCCGCGCGGCACAGGGGCCGCGCGCGCGCGCAGCCGGGGCGGGGTGTGCGGGGGAGGGGCGGCCAGCGCCGGCCAGAGGGGCAGCGGCATCGATAGGGGGCGGCTGGCCACAGGCTGGCATGCAGTGGCGGCCCGTCCACAAGAGGCCCTACAGAAGAGAAGCCCAGCCCTGAGACCCCAGGGCGTCCACGTTTTTTTTTTGTGTGGGAGAATCACGCCTTCCATAGCAGAGCCATCGAAACCCAAGAAACCCGGGGCACCTTGGAGGCAAGCAAGCAGGGTGTTTCTTGGCATGGGCCCCCACTGTAGCCATGGCGTTTTTTCGTCTTATGTTGCTTGCGTTTTTCTTCTTATTCTGCTTCTCCTTATAATAATGGAATCGTGGATGGGTCCCCGATGTTGAATCAGCAGCTTGCTGGGCAGGTCGGGGTTACTGGGGCACCAGTCGACGGTCAAAAGCCATTTTGGGGTCGATGCGTCCCCCCGATGCCGCCCATCCTCCCCTATCGATGCCCCTGACGGCCCAAGACATCCGCGCGGCCCACCGCTGGTGCACTGTCTTTTCGCCCAAGTGCTGGGCCCCAATACCATCGCAGATCGATCCGGCTCGCAGACTGAAGAAAGCAGGGTCTAGGGTTAGGTCGGGCATGTCCTCCTACAGGCAAATTTCGGGAGGCATTGCAAACTAGTCAACAAGTATGCCAAACATTGGCCTGGCGAAGGACCCAACCATATGCACCTGTGAGTACCGCAATTAAGAATATCCGCCGACCCTTTTTGGGTCTCTAGGCGTGTGCGTGTGAGAGTACCCCCCCCCGTAATCCCCCCCTGGAACCCCAAACCGGCAATTCGACCCCCCCCTCGCCCGGCCGGACCCCAGACCGAACGCGCCACGGGGGAGCGGAGGGTTCCAAAACTGGCCAAGAAGGCACCAAAACGCTCCCCAGACCGTCCCAGGGGACATGAATCACCGAAATATCGCCCTGGACGCCCACGATGGCCTCCAGGCGGCCTCCGGAGCTGCCAAGACGCCCCAAAAGGCCTTCAAGATGCGCCCAAAGAGGGCCCCAAGAGACAAAATTCGCCCCGTTCCCTTCGAAAAGCAAGCATTTGTCGCATGCTCGCCTAGTCGGTTTTCACAACGTCCCAGACGGGCAAAGAAACCTTCAATATCGCCCCCAGACGGCCAAAGGGGCCCCCAAGAAGGGTCGAAGAGGGTCCAACAACAGCCCCCGAAGCCCCCAAGGCAGCCCAAGAGGGCCCCCAGACGGCTCCAAGAAGGAGCCCGGAGGGCACCTTTTCGAGCCTTCGGCCCAACGACGTCCCCAGCCTGCCCCAAGAACAACCCAAAAGGCCCTGAGTGACCCCCAAAAGAACCTCAAAGGCCCCCTAGAAGCCCCCAGGAAGCCCCCAAGAGGCCCCAAAACTTGGCCCAAGATGCCTCGAGGCGGCCGGATATGGCCTGCAGACAAGCCAAGATGCCACCAAAAGGCAACAAAAGAGCACCAAGAGGTACGATAACAGCAACGAAGCAACAGGAACGATGTCGAGCGCCGTGTCATGATTCGGACAAGCCTCGTGACATTCAATCCTGGAAGAACAATGGTTTATATAGGGGTTGGCGGATGTGGCGTAAGCCTATAGATCATCATCCCCCCCGCGCCCTATGGGGCCACGAACAGTGTGTGGGGCGTGCCGACGTGCGCGGCGGGGCACACAACGCGAGCGAAGACGATAGGCCTGTGTGCGAGAGACTGAGAGCGAGTGAGTCTGATTGTGATTGAGTCCGCGCGCGCGTGAGTCTACGTGCATAAATGTCGACGCCCATGTCGGCGCGCCTCTCACGAGGATCGCGCCCGCTTCCTTCCCGTTTTTCTTCTCCCTCTTTGCCCGTGCATGCCCACGTCCAAGGCTGCGGGCGCGGCGCCGCACGGAGTCCCCGCGACGCGCGCTGGTCGCCCCGAGAGAGTCCCGACGACGCGCGCGGGTCGTCCGCTGCGTGGAGCAGAGAGAGCGAGCAGGCTGGCTCCTGCCCGGGATGCGCGGCCCGAAAGCGGCCTCAATACGTCGAATACCACGGAAAACCTCCGGAAATCGAAAGTCGCCGCCATGCGAACTCCGCATGGGACGCCATGCGAATTCCGCCACGGAGACCTTAGGTGGAGCTCCCTATGGGGCCACGAAGCGCTGTACTGGGTGGTGGAGGACGCATGCGGGCGGTCCCACTGGGGCCTTCGGTGGAGCCCTCCATGTGGCCACGAACCGCTGTACTGAGTGGTGGATGACGCATGCGGAAAGGTCCCCCTGGAGCCTTCGGTGGGGCTCCCTATGGGGCCACGAAACGCTTTCTTTACTGGGTGGTGGGTGACGCACGCGGTCGGTCTCACTGGAGCCTTCGGTGGAGCTCCCTATGGGGCCACGAAATCCGGACTGGGTGGTGGATGACGCGCGCGGGCGGTCCCACTGGGGCCTTCGGTGAAGCTCCCTATGGGGTTACGAAGCGCTGCACTGGGTTGTGGATGACGCATGCGGGCGGTCCCACTGGGGCTTTCGGTGGAGCTCCCTATGGGGTCACGAAGCGCTCTACTGGGTGGTGGATGACGCATGTGGGCGGTCCCACTGGGGCCTTCGGTGGAGCTCCCTATGGGGTCACCAAGCGCTGCACTGGGTTGTGGATGACGCATGCGGGCGGTCCCACTGGGGCCACGAACCGCTGTACTGGGTGGTGGAGGACGCATGCGGGCGGTCCCACTGGAGCGAGCCCTGTATGGGGTCACGAAGCGCTGCACTGGGTTGTGGATTACGCATGCGGGCGGTCCCACTTTGGCCACGAAGCGCTGTACTGGGCGGTGGGTGACGCATGTGGGCGGTCACACTGGAGCCCTCGGTGGAGCTCTCTATGGGCCACGAAATGCTGTACTGAGTGGTGGATGACGCATGCGGGCGGTCCCACTTGGGCTTCCGGTGGAACTCCCTATGGGGCCACCAAGCGCTGTGCTGGGTGGTGGATGACGCATGCGGGCGGTCCCACTGGGGCCTTCGGTGGAGCCCCCTTTGCGGCCACGAAACATTGCACTGGGTGGTGGATGACGCATGCGGGCGGTCCCACTAGGGCCTTCGGTGGAGCTCCCTATGGAGCCACGAAGCGCTGTGCTGGGATGTGGATGACGCGTGCGGGCGGTCCCACTGGGGCCTTCGGTGAAGCTCCCTATGGGGTCACCAAACGCTGTACTGGGTGGTGGATGACGCATGCTGGCGGTCACACGGGGCCCTTCGGTGGAGCCCCCCATGGGGCCACGAAGCGCTGTAGTGGGTGGTGGATGACGCATGCAGGCGGTCCCACTGGAGCCTTCGGTGGAGCTTCCTATGGCGCCACGAAGTGCTGAACTGGGTGGTGGATGACGCGTGCGGGCGGTCCCACTGGAGCCTTCGGTGGAGCTCCCTACGGGGCCACGGAATGGGGGAGGAGCGGGAGAAGGAGGAGGAGGGAGGAGGAGGAAGGAAGGAAGGAAGGAAGGAAGGGAGGAGGAGAACAAACAAAAAAAAAAAAAACGTCCCCAGACTATTTTAGCTATTTTTGGATATTCCCCCTGTAGAGGCACGGCCCGACTCAATGCTCGTCCTCCGCCGTGCGTTGGCGGCCCCAGGGCCGGGGGGGAGGGCCCCGCGAGCCCGAAGGCAGCAAGCGCCTTCCGTCGCGATTTTTCTGCACGACGCGAGGAAGTCTGGCAGCTTGGTCTTTTTCATCAGCGATCCCGTCGGCCTGAGGCCTGAACGATTTTAACTGAAACTGAGCCAAACTAGATGGCTCGCCTGAGACTGAGGTGCAGGCCTTGCTGCCGCCGCTGTCTTTCGGGCCAGAATGCGCGCCTGGAGCGCCAGCATTCCTGGAGCAGGTATCAAGCCGGAGGCTGGTGCGGGCAGGCTAACGTCTGGCAGAGCGGACCCCACTTGAGCGCCCTGGATGAAGGGGCCCTGGGACACACAAATCAATACACACAAATAACAGGACTCTCCATAGTTTCCCATACTTTCTGGGTTTTTGTTTTCCCCCCCACTTCCCATATTTTTTCTCATATTTTCGGGGAATCGACGATTAATTGTGCCTGTGTGTTTTTTCCCCTCCTCACTGGAGCTGGCACGCCCGAAAGGGGTCTGGAAGACACGGCACGGTGCTCGGCAGCCGGTGCGATCCAGATCCAGCGGTGGCCGCTCCAAGGGCATGGCGACTTTCGGGCCCAAACGGGTAGCATGCGCGGCGACACCAGCAGCGAGCCCTGCTGGATATCAGCAGGAACTGCTGTCGCTCTGTCGCTCGTCGTCCCCCGGTCTTTCCAAACCCACCTCGATCGTACCCACAACCTGTATCCCGCCTCCTGGTGTGCGGAGAAGCCCTACGGGGGGGAACATCGAGCTTGAATCGGCGATACATCGCCGTCACGGCGAAACAGCGATATGCCCCCGATGGCATGGCCGACGTCGGCGACGCATCGGCGACGTCGGCGTCGAGAACATCGGGATCCGCATCGAGCAGGGATGCACGGGCAGCCTCGAGGAAGCAGCGCATCCTTACTATCGATTCTGAATGAACGCCCCCCCTAACAAACGTTGCCCCTGAACCCCGTCCTCCCGGGGAAACCAAAAAGGGACCGATGCTGCTACTCCCCAGGCCTCTCCCGGGGTCCATGCTGGCCCGAGGCGAATCCAACGGTGGCGACGGGGCCGTCCTGGAGGCCCCGAGCAAAGGATAAAACAAGGGAAGGACACGGTGCAGCCCAAACCCCCGACGCCATCATTTTTCCATGACGTCGACACTCGGGAAATCTGGACCCCTTCCCCAAGGCCGGCGTTTCATCCCGAGTCGTTTTTCCCAACCATCCTGTGGCGTTGGGTCCTCGTTTTGAAGAGACGGTCCCCGCGTTCTCCTCCTCCCTTCCTTCCTTCCTTCCTTCCTTCCTTCCTTCCTTCCTTCCTTCCTTCCTTCCTTCCTTCCTTCCTCCTACTCCCTCCTCCTCCTCCTCCCCCCGTTCCTCCCTCACTTCGTGGCCCCATAGGGAACCCCACCGAAAGCTCCAATGGGACCGCCCGCATGCGTCAGCCACCACACAGCACAACATTTCGTGGCCCCATAGGGAGCTCCACCGAAGGCTCCAGTGGGACCGCCCGCATGCGTCATCCACCACCCAGTACAGCGCTTCGTGGACCCATAAAAGGGCCCCACCGAAGGGCCCACTGGGACCGCCCGCGTGCGTCATCCACCACCCAGCACGCCGCTTCGTGGCCCCATAGGGAGGTCCACCGAAGGCCCCAGTGGGACCGCCCGCGTGCATCATCCACCAACCAGCACAGCATTTCGTGGCTCCATAGGGCGCCCCAGCGAAGGCTCCACTGGGACCGCCCGCATGCGTCATCCACCACCCAATGCAGCGCTTCGTGGCCCCATAAACGGCTCCACCGAAGGCCCCAGTGGGACCGCCCGCATGCGTCATCCACCACCCAGTACAGCGCTTCGTGACCCCAGTGGGACCGCCCGCTTTCGTCATCCACCACACAGCACAGCGCTTCGTGACCCAATAAGGAGCTCCACCGAGGGCCCCAGTGGGACCGCCCGCATGCGTCATCCACCACCCAATACAACGCTTCGTGACCGCATAGACGGCTCCACCGAAGGCCCCAGTGGGACCGCCCGCATGCGGCATCCACCACCCAGTACAGCGCTTCGTTGCCCCATAGGGAGCTCCACCGAAAGCCCCAGTGGGACCGCCCGCATGCGTCATGCACCACCCAGTACAGCGCTTCGTGGCCCCATAGGGAGCTCCACCGAAGGCTCCAGTGGGACAGCCCGCATGCGTCACCCACCACCCAGTACAGCGCTTCGTGACCCCATAGGGAGTTCCACCGAAGGCTCCACTGGGACCGCCCGCATGCGTCACCTTCCACCCAGTACAGCGCTTCGTTGCCCCATGGGGAACTCCACCGAAGGCCCCAGTTGGACCGCCCGCATGCGTCCTCCACCACCCAATACAACGCTTCGTGGCCCCACATGGAGCTCCACCTAAGGTCTCCGTGGCGGAACTCGCATGGCGGCCCAATGGCGGAGTTCGCACGGCGGCGACTTGTGATTTCCGGAGGTTCTTCATCGTACTCGGCGTATTGAGGCCGCTTTCGGGCCGAGCATCCCGGGCGGGAGCCAGCCTGCTCGCTCCCTCCTCCGCGCAATGGACGACCCGCGCACGTCGCCGGGACCCCTTCGGGGCGACCAGCGCGCGTCGCGGGGACTCCGTGCGGCGCCGAGCCCGCAGCTCTGGACGTGGGCGTGCACGGGCAAAGAGGGAGAAGAAGAACGGGAAGGAAGCGGGCGCGATCCTCGTGAGAGGCGCGCCGACATGGGCGTCGACATGTACGCACGTAGACTCAGGCGCGCGCAGACTCATCCACAATCAGACTCACTCGCTCTCAGTCTCTCGCACACAGGCCTATCGTCTTCGGTCGCGCTGTGCGCCCCGCCACGCATGTCGGCACGCCCGTCACACAGTTCGTGGCCCCATAGGGAGCGCGACGAAGATGACATTCAGAATTGCGGTATTCACAGCTGCACATGGTTGGGTCCTTCGCCAAGCTAATTTGACCGTCCCGAGGCCCAGCAAGGGCACCCAGAGGCCGAAAATGGCGAAAAAACTCCCGCCCTGATTAATTCACTACTCCAAGGGGTCTGGGATGTAGGGTACCTGCTGTCCTCTGAGAGCGGACGCGACCCCGACCCCTCGCGGACCCCATCCCCTCCCGAGCTCCTCTCTGCGAGCCTCGCGCGCCCCTCCCGTCGGTGCCCCCGCCCATGGGGAGACCAACAGGCATCCATGCAGCTACTCGCCGTGGGGTGCGCTCTGACCAGAATGTCGAGGCGCATCCAGCGGTGGCAACGACAGAGGAAGACAACACCACATAAACATAAACTGTTAGAGCTCCGCGCGGATTTCTTGGATTCGCGCTGGGCCCCCCTCCCTAGCGCGCGGAGCGCGCCAGGGGCGGCGCCGGAGGCGCCGCCCGGGGGGCCCAGGCGCGGATCCAAGAAACCCGCGCGGAGCACCAAAACTTTTGGTTTATGTGTTTTTGTTCTTGTTCGAAACGCGAGCCTCCGAGCCTCCGGGAAGGCCTCAAAGGACAATCACGAGGGGCGGGCCCGCGGTATGGGATGGGGAACCAAAAAGGGACCGATACCGCTATGCCCTGGACCTCTCCCGGGGTGCGTTCTGACCATCATTTCGAGGCGAATCCAGCGGTGGCGACGAGGGCTTCCCAGGAGGCCCCCAAACAAGGGGAACTCGGCCGAAGGGCAGAAGGATGGGCCCACCTTTTCCTCCTCTGATCCGAGGCGTCGCCCCGGAGCCCCGCTCCTGCAGGTACCAGTGCGCCAGGGCCTCCTCCGCGGTGCAGCGAGCGGCCGGGCAGAGCTCCAGCTGCCGCTCCACGAGGGCGGCGACCCCGCCGCCCCGGGCGAGGCGGGGAGCGGGGTGGCCGAGCTGGACGGCCGGGGGCTGCTGGAGGCGTCCTGGGCTTCAAGGTAGGTCGGGCCTGTCCCCCTACACGCGGAGCTGGGACGAAAAGCTAGGAATAGTCCAAAAAACATATTCCCACATGCTCAACAAAAACACACACACACACACACATACACACACACACACACCAAAAAACGTCCCCATACTCTTTTTTTCAGAACTATTTTTGAGGATCCCTCCCTGTAGAGG